TGGGGGGGCGGTTCAACCTAACCCACGACAGTGAAGGTCAGATATTTATGCCCTTGTCTGGACATAATAAGGTCTGTCACTAAGGTCAGTGGAAAGGAAGAAAGAAGATTGCTCACTCAAGGAAGTTCCTCATGGCTTCACCCTCTGGCTTGCAGGAAATGTAGAGCAGCCTTTGGATGGACTTGCAGTTTCGGATGGCTCGCACAACCCTGTAATCTGCAAAAACAGATACCGTGCTTTCGCAGCAACCCACCACCACGAGCTTTCCAGAAGGAATGACTGCTTAGCAAGCATCACAGAACTGCACTGAACTGTCAAAAATACAGGCAAAAAAGAATATACACATTTTGCCATTTCTTGTCTCAGATGCAGGCTCTCAGGAAGCCAGGGATACGACCCACACTGATAACCGCTTAGCTGATTCAGCAGGGTAGAGCAGCTGGAAAAATCCCTCTGCTTCCCAGGGGGATGAAGGAAAAGAATTGTCATTTAATTAAGCAGAAGCACGTAAAACCTTCCACACACGCTTCTGAGACCACATCTGGGCACCAGGACCACTTTGGAACTTCCCTGTACACACTGGAGCGAGTCCAGCAGAGACCACTACGACAGTCAGAGGGCTGGGGCTCAGCATGCATGAGGAGAGTATGAGGGCTGGGGATATTCAGCCTGGAGAAGAGGTGAGCAGGCATCCATTTGCTATCTTAAGGGTCCTCACAGGGGATTATAGAGAAGACAGAGCCAGAATCTTCTCAAAGGGGCATGAGAAGAGGATGAGAGGCAACAGATGCACTGCAGCAAAGGGAAATTCTGATTACATATATTAGGGAAAACGTTTTCAGGAAAGGGTGTCCACCCTTGGATATACTGGACTTTATAGCCCTGTGCAACCATACACAACTCTGAAGATGGCCTTGCTTGGTGCAACTCTGAAGTTGGGAGATTGCACCACAGACCTCCACAGGCTCCTTCTCTCCTAAATAATTCTGTGAGCCTATGAAAGATGGAAAAGAAGATTAAAGCTGTCTGCTTTAAAGAGAAAGCATGATAAAGGCACTGAAACCAGCAGACGCTATGGGATTTTAGCTGCCATCACCAACAAGGTAAGAAACTAGAGACTAAGTGAGCAGCAGGTTTGGAGCCAATATAACAGGTCTCACAGAACTTGTTCAAAATTCTCTGTTTTCAAGATGAAAATAAATAGCATATTCTCTCACGGAGCCCAGCCCGAGATGGGTTCACCACAGCAACAACGGGTCGGGTATTGTCCCATGACAACAGGAGTTGTGGTAGCACAGCCTCTGCCTTTCCACTGTGAAACTCACAGTTTGAGATTCCTGTGAAGCAAAAAGCAACCACATGAAATGATCAGAGTCAGTCTCACCAAACATTAGGCATAACATGAAGGTAACTTGCTGCATGAAGGTAACTTGTTAGGATCCCTTTGATCACTTCTGCTTCCAATTTTTCAGCAGTTAGTTTGAAACTTTCTGCCATAGTGAGTTTGAACTCACCATTGAATGCTGCATTCCACCTGGCATCCTCTATTGCCTTCTCCACCACCTCAATACCAATAATCTTGGACACTTGGTGAGCCAGAGAGAGACCAATTGTGCCTGGAAATGAGGGATACAAAAGTGCTCCTTACATCCATGCTCAAGAAACAAGTCTTTAGATAGCAGGGTTCATTTTTGGCATGCAGGGCACCAGCCCTGGGAGCCAGGCTCACACAGCCACTGCTCACCTGTTCCACAGCAGATGTCGAGGAGGACAGTGTCCCCCCCAGCCTGACTCAGCTCCGCGACTGCCTGGTACAGAACTTCTGCTCCACCTGTGTTTACTTGGAAAAAGGCATCTGGAGAGATGCGAAACTTCAGGCCAAGCATTTCTTCAAATATGTGTGGTTCTCCATGCAGTAGTTGGAAGGGGGACTGCTCGTGCGAGCAGCGTGTCATGGTGCTAGCAGAGCACACAAAAACCAGCCGTTAGAAGGCAGCAGAGAGGCAGCTGATTACCATTTCCATTCCCAAGGTGCTCATGTGAGGGGAGGATGGTTCTCCCCCTGACCCCTCCACCCTTTATTTCATGTGAGCCTTTCAACACGATCAAAGAATTCTGATTCTTTGTAAGGGATCTGTAACTTGCACAGCCTAGAATTCATTAAAAGGATTAAAATGACTTCACAGGTCTGTTCCCCAGTTTTGCTGCTAACGTGATTTACTGTCTTGGGAAAGTCACTGTAGGTTTTTTTTGTTTAGTTCCCAGGCTCATAACTCCCATGAGGTAGAGCCATAGTGTATTCAAGTATTTCAGATGTGGAAAAACAAAGATGTGACCACATCTGCAGGAGGCATCCAAACATCTGTCATTCTCTTTAAGCACTCCTTGAACTGGCAAAATTTAAATTTGATCAGAAAGGTAGGAGAAAAAGGGGGTGGCTTTGTTTCCACTCTTCCCTGCATCAAGACATATACCTCTCTTGGAAATAAAGTGAAGTCAAGGCACAGGCTGTTCCAGGTCCACATGTGAAGAACTCCTTAAGCAATGCTTTCTGAGTAGCCAGTGCCTCCTGTCCAGAGCAAGAAAGGAAAACCTAGCTGTTTGGGTAATTTGATTAGACGCTTCTCCACAGCGAGACACCCATCAAGCTCAGGTCAGCCAGATACCCGATGCCAGGGATCCTGTCCTCCACGTACTCACCTGGCCCAGCTCCTGGGGGTGGAAGGTGATGATAGCCATAGTGTGGCCACAGCTGGTGGTGCGTACCACGAGCTCCCGCCAGTGTCCACCTTCGTGGAAGAGGATGCAGGGGTCCAGGGGGGAGCAACGGATGAACTCCTCATAGCACTGAGCAGAGGGGAAACAGCACTTGTAGGACAGCAAAGACAACTGCTGTGGTCTCAGCATAACTGTGCACCCCAAGCAGGTGGCCCTTTCACCAGTATCATCTGTTTCTTTCTGTTTGATTTCAATACATTGAGTGAAAGCTCTTTCAAAGTTCTTGGAAGGCAAGATATTTTAATAATTTTAATTTGTGATTCTTATGTATTGTAATAGATTGGCAGGAATTCATTGTCACATGATTAACTTGATTCTTTGGGACAGTTTAGAGGCTACAACATTAACATGCAAGCTTTTTAAAAAAATATTTATCCATCCAGGCCCAACCAGAACCAGGCCTGAAACTTCTCTGAACATGAAAGTGGACTTGAAAATCCACCATAACTAAAAATACAACGTTCTCCCAAATAAGAGTTCAGCCGCTCTATCCCACAGTCTAAGGACAGACATGACATTTACCTGGGCTACTTGTTTGTGTTTTGGCGGTATGTTCTCCATGTGGTCAGCTTTCACACAGACAATATTTCTTGCTGGAGAAAGACAGACCGGTATGTAATTATTTTGTTTCAGGGCATGTAAAACTGTAGCATCTGACATGATAAACTGTGGAGAGACCTTTCCCCTGAATTCTCTCATTGTACAAAAAAAAAGGAAGAAAAAAGAACAAAATGTTATCCAAGCACCCCACTAAATCCTGTGATGTTCTAGGTACCCGCAGTCTGCGGGACTGCCAGGATTCCCTTTGCCGGTGGTTACTGTCACTAACTTCCATGAAGAGGCTGGCGCTCTGGAAGCTTTTTAAATGTCCTCTAGCAACTCCCAAAGGAGTCACTGTACTGTTCTTAAACTAAGGGAGCTAGAGCAGAACAAGCTGGTTTTCTAACTGGAGAATAATGGTGTGGGCTTACAGCAGCAAAGCAGTTTAGGTTGCCTGGAAGACAGCATTCCCACTGCAGTTTAAATGCTAAACTTCTGCTGTCAGAGGTAAAATGCATCCATGGAATTATTTTTTTCAATGAGAAAAGCATACAGCAACCACCGCAGCACCTCTTGCTTTGGATGTTGAGAGGCAAAAGCTACTATCAATGGTGTGAAGGAGTTCACCACTAAGCAGCTTGCAAGGGGCACATAGCTCACATCTTCATTGCACAAAACCAAACTGCCTCACACATCCCAAACGCATCCTTCACTTTCCAACATTGCTCTGCTGCCTATGGATGTGCACAGCCCACCATGCTTTCCCGGCTCAGCACAGGCTCCTGGAGCATGTCAAAACCACAGGAACAGCATAATTAAGAAAAACAAAGCTAAATCCTGGAGGGGCTGCTACCACAGCTGTTGTCCTTACTGCTGCATTTAGCAAATTAGAAGCTCGTGTTAAGAAGATAAACTGAGGTTTTAAAATTGCTGCCCCAGACTTTGCGGTGTTTTTGTTGGCATCCATATGTAAAGGGTGACTGTCATGAGGATGGAGCCAGGCTCTTCTCAGTGGCATCCAATGATAGGACAAGAGGAAATGGATATAAGCTGGAACATAGGAGGTTCTGTTTAAACATGAGGAAGAACTTCTTCCCAGTAAGGGTACCAGAACACTGGAACAGGCTGCCCAGAGAGGTTGTGGAGTCTCCTTCTCTGGAGATGTTCCAAACCCGCCTGGACGCGTTCTTGTGTGATCTAATCTAGGTGGTCCTGCTCAGGCAGGGGGATTGGACTAGATCATCCTTTGAGGTCCCTTTGAGGTCCCTAGCATTCTGTGATCCCCCAGGATTCAGACTTCTAACTCAGATGGAGACTGTCACAGCAGAGCTTTGCCCCAACCCAGCCCATGCCAGCAGTTTTCTGTCCAGCTCCTTGTGCTGCACTGACCTCTGCCAGTTCCCACATACAACCCCACGGTTTTGGGGTTCCCATCCGGTCCTCGGTTCACAGAGCAAGTGGATTTATTTCAGTAGCCATTGATGATGGGCTGAGAGAGAAGAGAAGAAAAAGTAATGGAGGAAAGCCAAAACCCAGCCTGGTTGTTCTGTTGGCAACATGGGAACGTGCACACAAACGTGCAAAACGCAGAAATGGAGTTTCTGTGAGAGACTCCTACTACTTCCCCTTGCTAAGAAGAAATGGCTCTCTGTGACAGAATGGTGACAGGTTTATCAGAGAAGGCTTGGGCACAAAAAAGGGTTCCTAATCACTGGGCTTGTTTCACTCTCTGGCAGTCACAGGCTGCAAAGCAGAAGCTAGCAAGGACTGCCACAGATACATTCTCTGCAACCAAGTAATCCTCACCGTGAGACTCTTCAGGAGCCAAGTGAGAGACTGTTGCTGGCTCAGAGGGGACAGTGTTCCCGTGTGATACTCACTGAAGGGACTACAGGCTGAAGAGGACAGCAGAGTCCATCAGGTTTCTGTGCATCTATGCCCAGCTCCTCAAGACGAGATGTCAGTGTCTGCAAAATCTTCCTCTGGCTTTCATACTTCACCTGCAGAAGAGTGATAAGCCAGAAACACTCTCATGGGACCACATGATGGTGGGCAGCTCTTCATTACCCACCTCTGGGAAGGCCAACAGGAGGGAATATAGCAAGTGGGATATAGCCCCAGAGGAACTCTGCCTTTCTCATCACTGCAGCTGCTTGGAGCAACTGGGAGAGAGAAATCCCATGTCCATGGTCCCCAAGCACTGGCCTGAAGCACTTGGTCCAATGTGAAGCCCCAGTGAACCTGCTGTCATGCACTAGACAAGATCACTGTACAAGTGCCCATCCTCTGTGCTGCTAGTGATCACACGCATGACCCACAGGGATCCTCCCAGTTCTATCCTTCACAATAACTGAAGAATTAAAGCAGCAGTAAATGGGGTCTGAAAAGTTTACAGCATTAAGTGACTAAGATGCTAGTGGCTTTGCTCAAGGAGGATAGAAGGGACAGTTGGGGCAACATGACAGAGAAAAGTCCACGTAAGCACATCTTACCTGCAGCTGCTCTTGACAGAGAAGTCTCCACAGTGGAGTCGCTGCATTTGCCAACCTGGAAAGCACAACATCTGGGTAGTGTCCAGCACTACTCACCTCCTGATACTTATGGCATAACATCCTTGCCAGCTGCTTCATGGGCAGGACTGTTCTGGTACAGGCTCTGCACAATTGCTGGCTGTGAACATCCAAACTCTCTTTTCATGGCACCTTCGTGGTGCACGATACTTGTTGCTGGAACAGGAAACCCAGGAACCACAATGACCAGCTCTCCAGAGGAGAGGCTGAGCCTTTGGCAAAAGATTGACCAGTAATGTCTGGGTATCCTGGGTAACCCAGGTATCTTTCTGATCCTCCTTTAGGGGACAGGGCCAGGAACAGCGTTTCCCCCTCACAGGGACCCATGGAGGCCCTGCCAAGCCCTGGGTGAGATCTGACTCTAGGCTGGTAAAGCCAAGGAAATGAGTATTCAAATGTTACTCAGGTCACAGGGGGAAAAACAAAACAAAACAAAACACAAAGTGCAGGCAGAGAACGGAAAAAAAGAGATCAAGTTGTAGCTTCAGATAGGCTCTGTTGCTTTCTCCCACTGAATCAGAGGCTTTGGCCATCCCTCGGTGCTCCGAGGACAGCCTTAGTCCCGTCTGCCTGGAATTTTCCCCTAAAAGAGCAAGATGCTTCTCTCATCACTCGATGCCTCCATCCTGCGTCATCTACCTGCTCACATTTCCAGCTACTAGTACACTTTTTTTGCTAATGCTCTACTAGATTAAATTAATCACAGTGAAATGCAGTTTGTGTGTGGCAGGCAGGGAATTACAGGCTGCCCACTCTCACTGACCAGGCCACCCACACAGTGGCATTTTAGAGATAAACCTCAGAACTTGACACTAATTGTATTTGAGGCAGGGCGAGCCAGAACAAAACACATAAAAGCCAATTTAAAAAAAAAAAGACGACAGAGTAAGGGGAAAGGTTGATAATGATCCAAACTATTATAACTATCCATCAACTATTGACTCACTGAGCCCACGGAGAACCTCTCCTCATAGCTGGATAAGGTGTTGTTACTGCTTACTGGAATTTTTGGAGCTGCTTCTAAAGCATCCAGTGCCAACTACTTTCAGGTACGGAACTGCAAATCAAGTGCACTATTACTTTTCACTTGCCAGTACAGCAACTGCTCTGCTCCTGATCCTTTCTTCTTAGACCTTTTCATTTATCTTTTCCATTATTCCTATCCCCAGGCCAAGTTCCAGGAAAGCCAGCTGAGCCCTGGCTCTTCTATTCCTACTGGGGAGAGCTAAGTGGAGGTGAACCCCCCCAACCCACTGCTTTAAACACTTCAGGTGCTTAGTGCTTAGAAGAGTGCTTGGTCATTTTGGAAGAGTCATACCTCTCCTCCCAGAAGGCGCCCGGCAGGCTGCTGCCCTCTCTAGCCGTCTTCTTTTCCTTCCGCTTTCCTACCGTCTTCTTCGCCGTCAGCAGGCTGCGGTACCGACCCGGCAGAGTGCTCAGGAGAACACTCGAAGGGCGAACGTGCCAGCACGGCAGCCTCAAGGCGCAGGACAGAGCCATGGTGGGAAGAAGAGGGG